AAACCTAGTTAAATGACTGTGGGCTTACTGTGCTTGACTGGCCAGCAAACTCGCCTGACCTGAACCCCATAGATAATCTATGGGGCATTGCCAAGAGAAAGATGAGAGACATGAGACCAAACAATGCAGAAGAGCTGAAGGTCGCTATTGAAGCATCCTGGTCTTCCATAACAGCTCAGCAGTGCCACAGGCTGATAGCTTCCATGCCATGTTGCATTGAGGCAGTAATTGCTGCAAAAGGGGCCCAAACCAAGTACTGAGTACATACGCATGCTTATACTTTTCAGAGGTCCGATATTGTTCTATGTACAATCCTTGTTTTATTGATTGCATGTAATATTCTAATTTTCTGAGATTGTGGATTTGGGGTTTTCATGAGCTGTAAGCCATAATCATCACAAATATGACAAATCACGGCTTGAACTATCTTGCTTTGCATGTAATGAGTCTATCTCATATATTAGATTCACCATTTAAGTTGCATTACTGAAATAAATGAACTTTTGCACGATATTCTAATTTTTCGAGTTTCACCTGTGTATATATGTATATTTTTTTTTTGTGGACAGCACAGTGGCTTAATGGTTATCACTTCTAACTGCAGCACTAGGGTCACTGGTTAAAATCCCGACCACGGCACCACCTGCCTGGGAATTGGCATGTTCTCCCTCCCACACCCCAAAGACATGCTGGTAAGTTATATAGTTACCCCTGGTTGGACCATGTGGGCCGCGTTTTTCGCCGTCACGAGAGCCCATTCATGTGAACAGATTCCCGTGCTCCATGATACGCAGGTATGAAATCCCTGCACTTCTGAAAACGCAGCCCGCACGGGAACCTTGGTTCCTAGTACGGAATGCGACCATGTGGGCCGCGTTTTTCGCAGACACGAGAGCCCATTCATGTAAATGGACTCCTGTGCCCCATGAGATGCAGGTAGGAAATCCCTGCACTTCTTCTGAAGACGCAGCCTGCATGGGAACCTCGGTTAGAACTAATGGCACCCGCCTGTGGGTCTGCATTCCTCTGTGCGGGTGGTGCGACTGCACGGATTTTTGTGTGGATCCACAGTCGCACCACCTGCACATATGTGAACCTAGCCTTAGTCTGGCTGAAAAAAGACAAAAGTTCATCCAGTTCAACAATAAAAAAAAAGTTATAATCCTATACCCACAGTTGATCCAGAAGAAAGCAAAAAAAAGCCCAGCAAAGCACGATCCAGTTTGCTCGTGCAGGGAAAAAAATTCCTTCCTCATCCCCCAAGAGGCAATTGGATATTCCCTGGATTAATTGGTTAATTGGATCCTGTCTAAATTGGCCCTAGTATGTATGTGTATAAATGTGAGTTAAGGACCTTAGATTGAGGGTTAGGGGCTGATCTGAATGTACAATATATAATATTATTATACAGGATTTATATAGCGCCAACAGTTTGCTCAGCGCTTTACAATATAACAGGAGACCATACAGCAACAATACAGTTCAATACAGGGGGGTTAGGAGAGCCTGATCCTCGGAGCTTACAATCTAAGAGGGAGGGGCTGGTGGTACAAAAGGTAATAACTGTGGGGGATGAACTGATAGGAGGAATAGAAGATTCCATTATTAGCGGAGGGCAGGATTAGGCTTCCCTGAAGAGAGAGGTTTTCATAGATCGCCTAAAAGTGGGCAGAGTAGGCGATAGTCGGATAGATTGGGGTAGAGAGTTCCAGAGGATGGGGGAGGCTCTGGAGATGTATATATCTCTGAGCAAACTGTTGGCGCTATATAAATCCTGTATAATAATATATGTAAAGCGTTGTGTAAATTGATGGCGCTATACAAGTACCTTAAATAAAATAAATGATTGCTAGCGGCTATAGGCAGCATCACTGCACCTCTGCAGTACAATGGCAATGAAGATTTGTAGTGATTTAAAGATGGACAGGTAATTCCCTGTCCCTCTCAGGAGATTATCTGTGGCCAGTGCCCCCCCCCCCCCCCAACCTCTGTACAATTATATTACATTTAGTGACCATACAATCTGGCTGTAATGTGTGTGGTGGATTGTTCATGAGGGGACGCAGCGTATAGCTTTCTTCGTATCGATCACAGCTGCAGGCGTACTTTTCTTCATATGAAAGTAAACTCTGCCCACCAGAATTTCTACTGCAGTGTCAGGAAATGCGCAATGCAGACCTTCTAGAGCTTTCTGGCTAAGTTTTCAGCTGAAAAGTTTGTTCTTTTCTTTCTTTTTACTGTATAGAAAGTGTTTGTATCCAAACCAACAAGCTGGCTGTCTGGCTGGCATGGCTTTCTGAGTCGCTCTGGTATTACATCAGATAACACAGGAAAATGTACCCAAGGCTGAAATATCAAAACTGACGAATAATCGCCTCCACATTTCACACATTCGTATCATATATGAAGAAGTCCTTTTATTTCAGTCATGGGAGAGTCATTTTCACAGCTTCTTGGAAAGTACTTTTTACATGTACATCTCCTCATCCTGGGGCGTTGGCTGTGCAACATTATTGTCTGTAATGGACAGATTCAGATACTTTGTATCTAATGACATATTTCACTCTCCCCTCCTTGCTCATATCTTTTTACAGCAGCATAATTACATTCCCTCTGATAAACAGTTACAGTTTCTTATTAAACTAAAATCCTTTTATTTCCAGACGTTCTAGAAAAATCTCCATACTATATTATTTATCGAGCGTCTCATCAGAACCAGTTTAGACCAGTCTGAGCCAGACCTACATTTTACCGCAGTAAATATCCATCCGCTCAATTTGTTTTTTTTTTTTTTGTGTGTGTCGAAGGGGACTGCGTACCAAATGAGATCCATCCGCGGCGCGTTTAATGCTGTATTCTTCCGCCGGATTATCCGAGTGGAGAAGTAGCGCATCTTGTTTTAAAATGTTATACTTTTCTAACGTTTTTGTATAATAAAAATTACATGGAATTGCCAGAGTCTCACACAGTGTTCAGAGAGACACCCGGGGGCACTAAAACGGGAAGGTCCGAGGAACTCTACAATGGGAAGGGCCGGGGCGCATGCGCACAACGGCGGTCCTCGGAGCTCTGGCAAATTCCACTTTTTTTATCCTCGTCTTACAAATAAGAAACAATGTGATAAAGTGACTGATTTGTTAGCTTTCTGGACAAACACGAGCACCACAGACATCATCTTCGAGTACAAATAGGCTGGGCGGGGTGATTTGGGATTTTTTAGATGTGGGACTATTTTCTTACTCAGTTTGGCTGAAGGATACAAGAACTGAGTTGAGGTGATTGGAGTCTATATAAGAGACGGCAAGAGGCGCAGATAGTAATTGAACGGGTGGAAGATGGAGAAGAAGAGGAGAAGAAGGAAGAGGTTGTGGCTGAGCAGAGGCACAGAGGGGCTCAGTTGATGTGAATGGTATGTATGTGGGTGTCTCAGTGGTGGTGAGTATGGGGCTGGGAAGGAGTATATAAAGGCAGAGAAGTGTCAGAGTGAACAATATTCTATGTATGCAGTCACTTCTATTATGTCTGTAGAATGTGAAGGGCTGGTTCATGATAGAACCCCAATGTTCCTGTACATTGTGGTATTATCGGCCTATTTATTTCAATGGGCTGCCAAATGTACCGCAATGTGGAGAAAAGATTATGCTGCACCACACCGTGTGGTACTGAGCTGTTTTATGGACGCAGATGTGCTGCCTTTGAGGTGGCATTAACAATAAATTGCACCCATGTATGTCTCTCAAGGACAGTGCGGTCATATCAGGGAAGACACCTTTCCCACCCAGCGTTCTAGTGTGAACCGGCCCTAAGCAAGGAGGCCAAGCAAGTGTATAAATAAAGTTATTCAGTTATTAGGTGGCATTGTGGGTATGTATTCTGCTCTTGTAGAGGGGGGTGGTATATGTATTATCTATAGGGAGTTACATCTGTGTGGTCATTTTGTGATTCTTAGGACTGATCACAAGAACACGGTACTGTCAAGGTCTACTGAATGTGGCTCAACCAAGGGAACTGACGATCCAAAGGAGCCGTGTGTTCTGAGCCGTAACTGAGGAGCAGTGATAAAGCAGGTGTATTCTGATTGCTGTGACTGTCTTACATTGAATCATTCAGGGTGTGTCCTACGGTGACTACTGCAGTCTTGTGACCGCATGGTCCTTAATGAATGTTGCCACTAAGTGGCAGTGTGTGTGGGATGTCCCATGGTAAATAGGGAGTGGCCACTGATGACCGTACGACAGTCCTATGACAGTACTGTCTTGTGATGAGTGTGATCAATAGTACAGGGAGTGGCCACTGATGACAGTACTACAGTCCTTTTTCAGCGTTGTCTGTAATGAGAGGAGCCCCTAGGGGGCAGTGTGTGGATGTACAATGATACTCCATACAGGGAGTGGCTGCTGGTGACAGTACTGTCCGATATGAGAGGAGCCCCTAGGGGGCAGTGTGTGGAATGTACAATGATAAACCATACAGGGAGTGGCTGCTGGTGACAGTACTGTCTGTGATATGAGGAGCCCCTAGGGGGCAGTGTGTGGATGTACAATAATAAACCATACAGAGATTGGCTGCTGGTGACAGTACTGTCTGTGATATGAGAGGAGCCACTAGGTAGTGCAGTGTGTGGATGTACAATGATAAACCGTACAGGGATTGGCTGCTGGTGACAGTACTCCAGTCCTATGACAATATTGTCTGTAATATGATTGTTGCCACTAAGTGGCAGTGTGTGGCTGTACAATTGTAAATACTACAGGGAGTGGCTGCTACAGTCTGATGGACTATGAATGGTGCCACTACGTGGCAGTGCATGAATGTACAACGATGATAGAAGAGCAAGCCTAGGTCTAAACATGTTTAGGTGGGAAGGGGGGCTGGGGGGGGAATTGAGTTGTCTTCAATTTTCTTTTCCAGGTCTAATATCATCCCCTTTCAAGCACTGAACTGAATAGGCGACTTCATCCGTAGACATAAACAGTCAAGCTCCATTTTAAAGACGTTATATGCAGACATCTGGCATGGGTATTTAATTGTATCTGTGATGATTTAGACATATCTGGGGAGAGTTTAGCTTAGTTATGGCCCTAGCTGTGAGGGGAGGGGGTGAATATAAAGATAAAAGGTTTCCCATGTGGGTAGTGTGTAGATAGGTGGTTAGGTAGTTTATACCTGGGTGGGTGGGGCTATAAATGGTTATTTTTAGATTCTTTTCAGACAACAGCCACGTAGAAGCAGTTCCGTGTGTTTCTGCCAAGGACAACAGTGGATCTTTACATGATGCTTCCCCTAGTCCAAGACGTACGACTGAGCTCAGTGTGCCTTTAGGAGTCTGGGTCCCTCCCTTGTGGCCAGAGATGTTCCTGCATGTGCCTGTGGTTTTCTGCATTCCAAAGTCCCATTACTGCTGTCCTGTCAGTGGAAGGACTCCTTGGTTCCTGCTGGTCATCACAACACATTCCCTGGGGGTGGGACCCCTAATAAAGATGTGCTTCTAGTGTGGTCCCGAACACCACTTGCCTTAACCCTTAAGGAGCCCCAAGTCTTCTGAACGTTATATGTTGCACTATGAAGATTGTCAAGCCCTTAATTAAGAACTTTTAATTCATGAGCCACCCCTAGGTAAAGATCAAATAAATTGCAAACCCTGCCTATTACGGACATAAAGATATAGTGTTAAAATTCAGCAAATCTGCAGTGAAAGTTTTATAATTTATTGGAACCCCATAGAAAATTGCTCAATATGTTTTCATCACTTGTATTGATAAGTCACCATTGGTGTGTGTAAAATGCTGTAATTTTATACTATGAGTATTCATGCATATAGTGTGTGCCAGATGAGCCACGAATTTAGACTTTGTATGTACCATTGCAGATTGCAGTTTTGTATTTGCATATGTGTGATGCCTGCCAGCTTTGTCTTAATTTTAGGCCTCTGTAATGGGGCCAAGTAGTTGTGTCTGTGTTTTTATTCAATGGCTTACAATTGTGTCGTTATTTAACGAAGCATGAAAGGTACATTTGTTGAATAAGGTATCAAATGATAAAATTACAAATCTAAACATAGCTTCACTTTAATAAAACAAAACATAGCTTCGCTTTAACAAACTTCAAGGATGAGGATCAACAGTCATCCTGCAATCATCAGTTAACCAAAGCTTCACTCAGCTGAGGATTCCCAAAGGAACAAGCTGGAACGTCCGTACATATTCAATGCAATGAAAAGATCATAATACCTCAAAACTATAAATTCCTCACTTAGCTAACATCCCAGAGTAACCACTGATCATAACTTTGGTAAACATTTGGGGTGCACCACATGATATGGCAAATCTCAAGATTGGTGGGATGTACGCAACTTTATTGGGGGCTAGGTGTCAACATTATAACCAAAGCTTATCAGTTTATACCTTGTTCACCAAACACGGCTACTTATGGGATGGTTCCACACAAATTTAACTGCATAAAGAGCACTAAACCCAATAAACCATCTGTAGTGCTTAAAAGAAAAGGCATCAGATTTAAAAGTCTTCTTCATAAAAAAAAGTTTGTCTTGAGCTAAAACTGATGCTATGGCTTTAATGTGCTTTACACATTTAATATTTGTGCACAAGGCCTCATGAAGCAAATGCGTATTAAACTAGTGAAAGCTGTCTGTTAATAGCTGGCCTGTCATTCTAAAATGGCTTCAATGGAAAAAGTGAAACGTGGTTAAACATAGTTATGGAATAATACGGTCTTCACCATCCTATATTAACCCATTGTCAGTGCTAGATGTGCCTTAAATCTGTGTGCTACTTTGCATCAAGTGTCTTAACTAATCAGTGGACATTTAAACTGTATCTTGAATCTGCAACATAATAAAACCTCATATAACCTGTAAATTTCAACCTGATTTTGGATATCAAATTCAAATAAAAGTAACAATTATTGGTTAAACTTTAGTCTCATTTTATGTGAGTCCTTATAACCATTTATCCCGTTAGCCTTGCAATTGGATTAAAATTGGTAAGTGCTGCATTTTACTTAAATGTTCGGCTGTAGAATGGAGAAGTGCTGAGTAACTGTCATGAAGCAAACATGGAAGAAAATGGTTTTGTGCTACCTATGAATATGTACAGAGGAATTGTGCCAAGTCCACATTCAGGTATTCCATTTACTAGTCCTACATATGGGGTTCTCTGTTACAAGGTACTGTAATGTTAGACTTTTAGGAACTGCTGATGTTGGCTGTCATGCCCTTCCTTATGCTACTGTTGTGTGCTTGGAGCAAGTATGCGAGCTAACAGATTGTTCTTCAATGACTGCATGCTTGCTTTAGGTCGAAGAATGTGGATGAGCCCCAGAGCTTGCACTTAGTCGTTGAAAGCTGTTTCCATTCTGGTCAGTGGTTCAGGCTGCATTGTATAAAAGAAGCTTACGTGCTTTTTGTAATTTGTATATTTAATTACATAGAGCGTACAAGGTTATTTTCTAAACTGGGTCTAGGTTTAGATAAAGTGTAAGAAAGCCCTACTATTACTGCAAGGATCAGTGTTAATTTAACATGGATGGTAAACATTGATAATCCTTGCAAAAATGTCATACATGTTGAGGAAATGGTTTGTGTACTCCCAGTATTTTGTCATGCTATAGTAGTAATCATCTTAGACTGTACCAGTATTTTTTGATTTCTACTCTATGCTAAGGTTAACCAACATGGCTGATGTGAATACCCCACCCAACGCTGCCCCCATTACTAACACTGGGGGGAGTGAGCTGTTAAAAGCTACTTGTGTGGCTTGAAGATGAATAGGATTTTTATATTTAACGGTACATGTACAAGGTCTGTTTTTGTGAAACCTTGTGAAGTGTTAATGTCTGAAGTGGTGTTTTTGTGGTAGAATAGGATGCCCCTTCTTGCTTTGCATTGCTACAGGATGGTTTGTCAATGTGTGTTACTTATTCTAAGTTTGTTTCAGTGTGGCTATTGACATCTTGTCTCTAACAGTTAAGACCTCATTACAACCATTGCCACGCTGCAGTGCATCTTACCACACTCTTGTTGCTGTCAAAGCTCAATTGTGGAAAATGGAAGCGATAAGCAATAAGGTGCATTGATTCTGCATTGCCTAGTGCAGCCAAACTCTGTTATTGTGAAAGGGCTCCAAGCAAAGTTTGTATATATTTGTATTTTGGGGATAAAATCCACTTAGTATAATTTTCAGCCAGGTAAATGAGATGAAATTGGCATCTAAATGGTCATTGTTTTACCCTCTTGCGGGTAGTGAGGTACTAGTTTATATTCTGACTGAATAGTCATGTACTAAACTGCTCAGTCGGAGGTACAAGCTCCCTACTTTCCCAGTACATAATTGAAACATTCTTCAGAGAGAGCATGCAGTGCCTCAGAACCAATTTTGCACTGAGACTGCATTGGTTAGTACAGCCTAACTCTGTTATTGCGAAAGGGCTCCAAGTAAAGTTTGCATATATTTATAGTTTGGAAGGTACAATCAACTTTTAGTGTATATTTTGCAGCCAGATAAGTATGACATTGCATCTGAACTTCATGTTTACCTGCTTGTAGCAAACGGGTAGAGAGGTACCAGTTAGTTTTGCAGTAATATCTTCTGACTGAATAGCTGGATACTAAACTGCCCATGGACAAGAGGTACAAGCGCCACGATGTTCTAGTAAGAAATGTCTGAATGGAAGCACATTGTATTAAGCTGTTGTTTTTTTTGTTTTTTCTTGGCCAGATCATTAAAACCTGACCATTGTAGGTGCTGAATCGGCTCTCCATATGCCACCTTGCTGGGCAGCTTCTTGCTTTTTCTATAATTTTTCTATACCATAGTTCCACTTTAACCATGTGCAGAACAAATTTAGTCCTGCATAGCAAGAGAAATGTGGATGATGTGCTGTCAGCCATTCCTCCCTCTGCATTCCTTGGGTCAGGGTAGATACAAGCGCTTGGTAGTAATGCAGCAATCTCCTTGCTAGTTTTGATATTGTGTGGCTGTGTCAAGGAGGTGCCTTGTCTGACATTGCAAATTGTAACATTCTCCCTTCTGGAGCTGAATGTTAAAACGTTGTGCTGCTTAGGGCTTGTTCATGTGTTTTTGTTTAGTTTTTTTTTTTTTGCAGAGATTGGACGTTTTTCTCTACAAGGGCATACCGAAAACCGTTTTCAATGTGCCTTGTTGATACATAAAATGTAACCTTTGGTGATCTGCAGTGTGGAATCTGCAACCGCTCCTATTCTTTCCACACGTAGTCTTTCTTCTGTGATTCAGATGGCAGCATAGGTCATTGCACTGCTGTGCGGAGACATGAACATGTAAATGGTGTGATGGGCTGAAATGGCACATCGCCTCACCCCATCTATGCCCAGTTAAACAGGCACCAGCCTGAACACTAAAATGGTGAATTTTAGATTGTGGGTAATGGGTTCAAGCCATAAATATAGACAGGGTTATATAGTTTCACAACCATTAACCTCATTTGGCATTCATTCAATACTTGAGGCAGATTAGAGTTCTTTCCAATCTGCATGCTTTTTTCTAGGTCAGTAACTTGGTTGGGCATCCAGGAAACCTGTTTTTGTAGGGCACCAATGGTAGCACCATGTTGTTTTCGGTACTTTTATTATCTGTGCAAAAATAATTTGGTCATGCTATATAGCAATTTATGATTGTATAACGGTGTGCAAACGGAGGTGTGAGCAATCTAACGGACATCAATAAAACGATGGTAAGGAATTGGTGACATCAGAAAAACCTCTTAATAAAATGCAAGCCAATGCTTTTTCTTTAATCAAGTTAAAAATGTTGAGTGGGAGTTAATGTATAGTGGTCGTTTAAATATGGGGGTGAGTATCTGGAGTTAAAAAGGGATGAGAACTGAGTCAGAGATGGTGAGAGAAGGGGAAATAGGAGTTTTGTGAGCAAATATGTTAAGGAAGTGAATCTGAATAATAGCACCAGTCCAGTGCCGGTGGCAAAGACGCCAAGTTATTCACCCCCATAATGTGTGCATCTTCTCATCTTTTACTGTTGGGGGTCTCCGGTCGAAGCTGCTCCTGCACTTGTCTTGGTTCTCAGCAACACTCCAGTTCTGCTAGTAGGGTTTTGGGTTGTAGGCGCAAAAGTGACCTAGTGGGACCTTCACTAGTAGCACTCGTGACCAAAGCTGTGGGGTGTGACTAGTGTCTAGTACAGGAGTCAGGCATGTTCAATGCACAAAGTGCAGGGGTCAGGGTTGTGTTAGAGTGCAAAGGAAATGAGTATTAGCTGTTTACCCTTGGTTACATTCCCTCCTTCAACCATCCTGAAGGGTTTACCCTTCTATCTTCTCTATGCACTTTGCTAATTTACACAAAACATTTAAAATACAACTTTTTTCACAACTTTGTCAGAGGTGCACCGTTCCATGCAAGTTTCCTTGTTGGTCAGTGACAGCATAGTTTAAAGTAGCAGTGTACACATGTGCACGCTCCTAGTTTTACAGAATGAAA